CTGCTGCTGTTGCTGCTGTTGTGAGGGAGCAGGGGGTAACCACGGCCCCTCCCGCTTTGCTGCTGAGCAGGAGGCGCCCTGGGTCCTCGGCTAAGGCCATCGTGCCGATGCTTCACCCTCCTCTCCTCCTCCACCTGAGGGTCCCGGTCTCGCACCTGACCCCGATCAGGAACCCTTGATGATGGGGCAGAACTGGTCCCCGCTGAGGAGACGCCGCCGGTCGTTCCTCGACCTCTCCCGGCTGCAAGGGCCTGCCTCTGCCTCAAAAACCCGAGGTCGATACGAGGAGTATTTGACATCGCGACTTCAAGCGCGTCCTCGGCGTCCAAAGATTGAAGAATTTGAAAGTCGGGCCACAAGTCGCCTCCCGGAGTCCCCACCTCGGCGTCCGAAGGAGCAACGTCCTCTCTGACCCCGACCTCCTCAGCAACTCCCTCGACCTCTCCCTCTGAAGCCCGATCCGGATCGTCCTCCAAATCTTCCTCAACCTCTAGCCTCGCCGCCTGGTCAAAGAGTTCAGACCACTGCGAAGGCTCAAAAGGTTGCGGAAGCTGCGAAAACTTCTTGTACCCGGGGGTATAGGACAGCAGATTATGAGCAGCTCGGCCGAACCCGTCGGCACCCGTGAAACTCCAAACTGTAACTAGGTCGGTAAAGTTCACCAACGACCGAGGAGGTGGAGCTGTTTCCCGAGAAGGAATATCTGCACAACAAAAAAAAAGATTGTCATAAACATGAGAAGTCCCGAGAAACAAATAAAGAACCCGAAGGAACCGACGTACTTGTCGTTCTCCATTCCAGAGGACAAAATAAGTCATTGTACTCGGGACCAACATCCCTTGAAGATTAAGATGTCGTCCTTGTACCCCTTGTCCGAGTCAGGAAGATGGGTTACAAGGTACATGGAGGGGTCCCTGGCTTTGAGGTAGAAGTGTTGGTGAGGCATGACTCTTAGGAGGGAGTAACAGAAAAGGAGATCATTGAGCCCAATATTCACCCCGAGGCGCCTATTGAGCTCTAAGACCCCCATGATTATTCGAAAGACGTTGAGGCAGCATTGCCCGGGGAAGAGACGAAAGCGAGACAGGAACTGAAGAAGCAGGGGGGTAAAGGAAACCTAATTCCACCCTCTATGATGGCCTTGGTATAGAAAGGCATGGCATCCGCGGCCCCGAAGGTAGGAGAGTTCAACAATGGGTTAAAATCCACTACGTCTACACTCGGGGGAATGCCATACTTAACCCTGAACCTATCGATCTGCTCCTCGCCTTTCACCTTGTATTTCCCTGACCCCGAGGGACCAGCCGGTGGATTCTCGGGAGCAGGGCGACGACGAGGCATCTCTAAAAGAAAGGAAGAAAAAGGTATTTACTCTTGAAAACCTGAGGAAGTTCCCCGAGGATTTAAATCAAGACGTACCGACCGGATGACACCACCGTTCAATCGGAAAACAAAAAGGCTAGGAGGACGATAAAGAAGAAGGTTGTGAAACTCACCCGAAACGTCGAAAACGGAGTTTTTCAGGAAAAACTTTAAAATGACTCGCACCGGAAAGTCCAGGAGTCAACAATGGGTTTACTGGCTCTGTGATTTTGAGAGAAAGAGCAGTCGACGATGGCAGAGGAAACAAGAACTCCGGCGAACAGATCAGGAAAGACGTATTCTCGGTCAAAAATCGGAATGGCAAAACGATGGAAACCAGAGAAGAACCCCCTTTATATAGGGGGAAATTGTCATCATTGGGCGGGAGAACCAAAACAGCGCATTTAATGCGCACGACGTCCCAAGCCGGGGAAAGCTGCTCGAGGCCATAATGAAGGACGGATGGCAGTTGGAAAACCCTTCGTCTCCTTACAACGCGTGTCCTCAGTGTCAGAAGATCGAAGGCTGGGGGGCAGTTGATGGGACTCTTCTGAAAATCCATAAGATGAAGACACGTGTCCTCGGGTTTTTTGGAAACAGTGTTGCCCGGATGTAAGCACCATCGGCGAAGAGCGTCCTTTACCCCGAGGCACCTCTCATATTGGATCACGCATTCGGTGTATTATACAACAACACGTGTCCTCGGTCATCCGTTTACCCCGGAAACATACCACCCTCGGTCCCCGAGGTGAGCCTTTCCTCGGTGCCGAGGGTCACTCCATCCTGGACGCTTCCTCTACTCCCGGATAAAGCTACTGACGTACAGGTCACTAGCCTGGGCTAGTCTAGGCTATTCATCATGACCTCGTCTTACACAAGTAATGTCAGAACGTGCTGGAATACCGACGTCACAGCCAATAGGGGATGGACGCGTGGCAAATAATGTCACATCAGAAGCAGACAAACCGCATGCCGTTGCTGACTCGCGACTTGGGAAAGCAAACAATTAATTGCACCCTTCCGTTGATGAGACCGCATTCAATGCGGTAAGACTCGAAAATGAAAGGCAATAAATGCTCCTATTACAGAGCATTTACTGCATCCTCCCCGAGAGGAGAACAATGTACCGTTGGCATACCGACGACTCACCATTGATTGCTCAGGACCCCGAGCAGTTAATTAGAGAAGACATTCCTCATCAAATCAATGCACACGCTATCTGTGCCCAATGATCACCTGCTGAACACACTGACAACAATCATGAGCCTTTTAAGGTATAAATACTCCTCCCAAAAGGCGAAGCGGGTATGCAATCACAAACTCTCTACTACAATACAGACTTCCTCAGTGTTTTCTTCTCCTCTCTCTCATTCAAAGACTGACTAGACCGTCGGAGGGGATACGCCGGAAAACACTCCGGCACCCTTCTAACTTGTTCCTCTTTATTCCAGGAAAACCTTTCACACATACAGGATCGGTCTTCCTTTCCCAGGATCTTCCTTTGCCGTTCCAGGTTGCCACCGTACCTTGCAGGCTGTGTCAAGCAGCGTGTTTGGCCACTCAACCGGGTCACTCAAAGTTCACCAGGGGAGAGATCTGTTCCCGTTTTTTATATTGTGCAGGATCTTGCACGCACACTTTCATACTCACTAGAGGTAAACAATGTTTTTTCCCAATCCAATTAAGTCGGCACTTTCCGGCTCACTTTCCATCCATCTGTTCCTCCCCTTCTTCTGCATCTTTTTCTTCAAAACCTTCCCTCCTCCTCCTCCTCAACCACCTCCATGGTTGCTGGGAATGACACGGATTACCTTGCGTTGCTATCATTCAAGGCTAAACTAACCTCTTACCCTCTTCAAATCACGGCCTCATGGAATGATTCCACCCACTTCTGCAGCTGGACGGGCATAATTTGTGGGAATAATATGACTGTTGGAATACTAGCTCCATTACCCAGGTCGTGGACTAGGCACACCATGGAGTGAATTGAAGTTTAGCCTATACTACTTTACTGGGAAATTGTTTTTCTTGTATAGGCTACTCTTTCGTCCTCCATCTACAACATGGTTTCATTTCTTTTTCTTTCATACTCACTAGAGGTAAACAATGTTTTTTCCCAATCCAATTAAGTCGGCACTTTCAATTAAGTAAACAATGTTTTAACAATGTTTTCCTCCTCCGTATCTCCTCCGCTAGTCCCACTCCTGCGCACGTGAGAGTCTCAAGACCTCTCTTTGATTCAAATGTTAGATAACACTAATACATATATATACTCAAATATCTTGGGATGTTTAGTCGATGTGAGATTGAGTTCCCACATAATAAATACTCTTTTGATTAAAATATTCTAACAATCTATCTTACAGGAGAGATACCGGCTTTTCTTGGAAATTTTTCAACCTTTCAGAGAATATCTCTGGTAGGAAATAATTTCCAATGAAATATTCCAGATACTCTAAGCCGGTTGAGAAACTTAATAGTTCTTGCATTTGTCGTAAATAATCTCTTCGGTTCTATTCCCCCTACAATTTTCAATTTGTCTTCTCTCATTATGATTGATGTTCCCTAGAATCAAATCGGAGGAGGTAACCACTAAGTAGGGTGGTTTAGTGGGATATCGGCCTTACTTCTCACTTTGAGATTAGGAGTTCGAGTCTTGGAGTTCTGTGATTGGCCGCTATGCTAGCCTGATTAGGTCTGGTCCGAGAAGTATTCCAGGCGCGGTTAGAGACTTTATAATCCATCGATGAGGACGAATCGGGGTGGTCGCCAGCCTCTCTTCCTTCCCCCTAAAAATTTTTTATCAAAAAACAAAAAAACAAAAAAAAAAATCGGAGGAGGTCTTCCGTCAGATATAGGTCTAAGTCTTCCCCGACTCCTATCGTTCAATATTGGACTAAATAAATTTGCAGGATCTCTACCTTATTCATTGTCCAACGCCTCACAGCTTGAGTTGCTTGCAGTGAATGCGAATGGCTTTACTGGAACAGTACCCAGTTTTGGAGGACTACAGTTTCTGGGCCGGCTACTGCTTGATAGAAATCAACTTGGAAACGGAGAACCAGATGACTTGAGGTTTTTGCCATCTTTGATCAACTGTACCCAATTAGGATTGCTAAGTTTGAGTGAAAACAATTTAGGAGGGGTTTTGCCGAAATCAATTGGCAACTTTTCGAAGCTTACCTGGTTTGACATAGAGCAAATCAGATATCTGGAAGCATACCCACTGAAATAGGGAAGCTTGTCAACTTACAGACTTTAACTTTGGGGCTGAATCAACTCCATGGTAGCATTCCTGATTCCATTGGAAATCTTGAAAAGCTAAATGTTATGTATCTCGCGGGAAACAAATTATCAGGGCATATTCCATCTTCTTTGGGAATTTAACATCCATTGCCTATCTCTACTTGGGGGTAAATAACTTACAAGGTAGCATCCCATCTAGTCTAGACAATTGCCAGAATTTACTATTATTGGGTCTTTCTCAAAATAACCTCAGTGGTTACATACCCACAGAAATTTTTGGCCTTTCTAGCTTATCAATATTTCTTGATCTATCCTACAACTTTTTAATTGGTTCCCTTCAATTAGAACAAGGAGATTTGGGAAATTTAGTCTCATTGGATATTTCCCACAACATGCTATCCGGTGAGATTCCGAGCAGTCTTGGCCGTTGCATAAGCTTGAGAGCGCTCTACATTGATGGTAACTCGTTTCAAGGGACCATTCCTCCATCTTTAAGTTCTTTGAGAAGTGTTGAAGTGTTAGATTTTTCTCGCAACAATTTGACCGGGCAAATTCCAGAATATTTGGAGAATCTTATATTTTTACAAAATCTAAACCTATCTTTCAATGATTTTGAGGGTGAGGTACCACTAGGAGGAGTTTTCCAAAATGCAACTGCAGTTTCAGTTGTCGGAAATAGTGAGTTGTGTGGGGGTGTTCCGGAATTGCAGCTGCCTAAATGCAGCATCAAAGAAGCATCGAAAAAACATGGAATCTCTTTTGCTGTAAAATTAGCAGCACCCATATCTAGTGGGATCTTGGTGCTAATTTTGGTGTTGTTTTCTGTTTTTATTTACAAATGGAGACAGAGAAAGGTGTCTTACTCTTTTTTTGCTGATTTAAGAAGGGATATACTACCAAAAGTTTATTATAGAAGTCTTTATAGAGCTACAGATGGTTTCTCATCAGCCAATTTGATTGGCTGAGGAAAGTTCAGCTCCGTGTATAAAGGAATTCTCGACGAAACTGAAACGGTTGTTGCTGTGAAGGTACTCGAACTTAAAGTCCGAGGAGCTTCCAAGAGTTATGTGGCAGAGTGTGAGGCATTGAGAGTTATCAGGCATTGAAATCTTGTCAAGGTTTTAACTTCTTGTTCTAGCATTGATTTTCAAGGAAATGACTTCAAGGCTTTGGTTTATGCATACATGGATAATGGGAGTTTGGATAGTTGGTTGCATGAGAATCCTATGTTAGGGACAGAAAATGAGAAGCCGCGTAGGCGGCTAAACCTACTGCAGAGATTAAATATCGCCATTGATGTAGCTTGTGCCCTTGATTATCTTCATTATCATTGTGGAACACCATTGGTGCATTGTGATCTCAAGCCAAGTAATGTGTTGTTGGATAGTGACTTGCTTGCTCATGTAGGTGATTTTGGATTAGCAAAGTTTCTTGCAGAGGCCACACCAACATTTTCTTCAAACCAGGCCAACTCCATAGGAATAATTGGGACCATTGGTTATGTTGTTCCAGGTAACTGCCTTCCTTTTTTGTTTTTTTTAACGTATTATTGAGCTATTTGGCACTTATTTTTCATGGCTGATCAACACCATGAGCCTGGCAATGATTAGATTATGAATCAGAGTCTGATGAGTCTGTGATGTTTGTTTCCCATAAATCCAAGTCTAAATCCGAATCTCCTATATCTTATTTCATGAATTCAATTTGGATATGTAAAAATATGTAATTTGATGGTTATCTGATCTAAATCATATATTTATACTCTGTGAATCTAATAACGAAACTAGGAGATTATTTGTCAAGCTGAATAGAAAATGAGATATAAATAGCTAAATTCAAGTTAAGTGAGTTATTCAGATCAGATTAGATTTTTAGATCAAATATCCCATTATTAACAGACCTCGATATGCACTTTGAAAGTAATATTAATTAAATAATTGAGTCAAACTGAGATTAGAGTTTTTTAGTTAGATTCGTATCAATTGAAATTTGATTTTGAAATTTGATTCAAATCTAATGTGTTGGTACAGCTTGGTTGTTGTCTATCCAAAGCATCTCATTTACCATGTGATTGTCAAAGAAAATATATTCCTGGGAGTTCCAAAATCAATGCCCGGTGTTGATTTCTTGTATGAGGGTGGGTCTTGGAATAGTGGTAAAATTGTTTCACTGCGATTTGAATATCATGTTTGAGTTATTGAAATAATCTCTTTATATCTGAACTCTCCCCTCGGAATATTTATAGCCCTTGTTCTGTTTTTAACCCAAATTTAAATTTGGGTTAAAAAATACTTAAAAATCTTCTTCAATACTATACCCAAAATTCATATCAAATCAAGGGAGATTCAAATTTTTACTCAAATTAAAAGAGATTGAAACTTTTATTCAAATCACCAATTGTTAGATTTTATTCTCTTTTAAAATCTAATTAATAGTCATATTCTATTCTCCTTTAAATTTAGATTTATCTTATTTTAAATTTGGATTTTCCCTCTAACTTTCTACTCAAATGTTGATTCTAATTGAGTAAAAATTTAAGTCATGCTCTTAAACCTCGCCGTGGTGAGAATCTTGTTCAATTGACTACTTTTTTTGTTGTTTGAAAATATAGTAGGTAATCTATAATCATTTGCTGTTTTTTTCAGTTTTTTTAGATGGTCAAACTATGTCTATGGTGGGAGCTCAACTGTCGCTATTAGATTTCAGTTTGTTAATTCTCTATTTGCTAGCTAGAATTTCAACTTCAATTGTTTTTTGCCTTTTTGTATACTTTCCATCACTGTCACTTTCGAACATATTGGGAAGCTGACAAAATTCTTGAGGTATTATTTTTGGTGTGTTATGCATGAGGAGTTGCAATTTAGGTATCATTTGGCAACTTTTTTTTTGAAGTACTCTTTTTTATTTTTTTTATTTCTCTTTTTTCTTGTTTTTAAAAGTAGAAAAATGAGTGTTTGTTTTGCTCAAAAATAATTTTAAAAATTAAACAAAGAATCAGTAACACTTATATTTACTATGCAGAGTATGTCAAGGGTTCTAGAGTGTCAACATATGGAGATGTGTACAGTTATGGAATCCTCATGTTGGAGATATTCATTGGAAAAAGAACCACTAATGACATGTTTAATGATGGTTTGAACCTTCACAACTTTGCTAAGATGGCTATACCAGAACGGGTTATAGAGATTTCTGATCTTGCTATTTTCTGTAATGAAGACGAGGAGATAATTAAAAGCTTTCATACTGCAAAACATGAGCAAATTAAGGAGTGCCTCATTTCAATTTTTAAGGTTGGAATTGCTTGTTCCATGGAATTGCCATCAGATAGAATGAGCATTGGTGATGCAATTACTGAACTGCATTTGATCAAAGTGGATCTCCTTAGACATAGGATACAACAACAAGAAGGTGCAAATGTGCACTAGTTAGAACACATTTTTGTGAGATAGTAAAATGTTTTGACTAATGTGAGTGCATTTGAATATAAAATGTTTTAGGTTATTTGAATACACAAAGCGGGATACTATTACAAAGATGCTCCATACGTGTGGTGCGGTTTTCCTTAATGAGTTAAAATTAAATTAATAAGACTAATGTAAGTGAAAGTACATGTGAAGCATTTGATATATGGATGTGGATTAATCTAGTATATATCAAACAAGAAAAAAAAAAGATATATTAGATAGGACTAATTGGACAAAGTCTGATATATCAGTAACAAGTGATGCTCTTAAAGCTTAAACCACGAGAGAGAAAAATATTATGGAATTGACCCTCAATTATGGACAGATTTTCTCCTATGACTACCAAATCAAAGTATAATACAATCATCAATAAACATGTCTAATTTCACATCAAGTAAAGAATCAATATTTCAAAACCTTAACAGTACAAAAATAGCTTTTTCAGTTAACATTATTGGAAAATATGACTTCCTCAATCATTAATTTACAATGAGGGTTGGGGGTCGTGTTGTACAGTTTTTGTGATTGTGGGGGTTTCTACGTTTGAGATTTTGACAAAAGTGATATTGAATTAAATTTTCGTCATTTTACGTTGTTGAAATTAATGTGTTTTGAGTTGTCTTCATTGGTGAAGATTTTGGAGAATACTTGTCCTGATACTTTGTCATTCTACTAAGTTTTTGTACTTTGTTTAGAAATGTGAAGAAGTTATAAAATTTAATTGCAATGCAAAGTAACAAAATGTTACCTTCAATGTATATTCCACCAATTTATTATGAGTAACGTATATAATTTTATTACAAGAAAGAAGAATCTTTCTGGCAAAAAAAATTGTGAATGGGTTGCCACTATAATTGTGTCACCAAAATTAACAATGATGAGATAGAGAAATTGCCACAAAAGACTCAACTTTTGGTGACAATTTCATCATCACTAAAGCAATATCAAAAGTGACAAAAACAATCACCACTAAGTATTAAAAAACTCTTCATTATATTCATAATAATTATTATAAAAGTTGTAAAATATTTGCGATACGATAAAAATTGTTGTATAAAATTATGGTATGGACTCAATAAAACAAACAATAAGCAACTAATATGAGAATAGATAGAGTACTTATCAAATGAGATGTGAAAAATCACTGCTCTTAAAAATAGATTTCACATCTTGAAAAACTAGTATCAGTATAGAAGACCAATGGGGCCAATTCTCCAGGATATAACAATTGTTTCTCACAAACATGCATTCATAATGTGAGGAGCTGGAAACATCCAGAACTCAGAATGAGAATAGAGAATGAGAGTGAGATGGAAGAATAGGCATTCTTCAGCGGAGGATGTTGAATTGGTGAGGTTCTCCTCCCTTGCTTCACCTTCATCAATGGCTCCCAACCTCCCATTTCCTCGTCACTCTAACCTTCCTAACTCATCACTCCCTTTCCTGTTATGGACCCTAACCCTATTTCCGAACCTAGGGCCGTTGCCGACCGTGGTGTGTTGGGCGATTCTGCCTCCCCATCTACTGTTTCTGTTGTCATACCCACTAAGGGCAACGACCTTGTTACCCACCATACTGGTAGGGCCCAGATGGCTTCAATTCCCAACCAACAAGAGGTCTCGTCTACTAATTTGGTAAATGCCTCCATTAATGCCGCTACTAATGCTGTGATGGCGGAGGGTCTTACAGCTCCACCAAATCATCTCCAACAGACGAAGATTCTCCCTAACACAGGGGACACCACCTCTGCTCAGGGTAAATCTACTACAAATGTTCCGTGGAACCAGATGCTAAAGTATGGCAGGAATGGCCCTAACCCATAAACAAGTAGGCTTGAGCAAGACTCTATGAAATTGCAATATTTCCAACCCAGCAGGGTCAACAACCGAGTTGTTGTCCAACCCCCACCAGAGGTTGCAAGTAAAGGTTGTGCAATTTGGAGATACTGCCTTGTAGGCTACTTCATTGAAAAGAAAATGTCTTTCTCAACTGTCTCCTTCATTGCTCACAAGATCTGGGACAGAATGGGGCTTATTGAGGTTCTGGCAAATGACCATGGGTTCTATTTCTTCAAATTTGAAGATGAGAAGGCGCATATCAGTGTGTTGGGAGCTGGTCCACGGTTCTTCCAGGGTAGGCCTTTATTCCTTAAGAAATGGCAGTCAGATGGTACTGTCTCAATGGAGGACCACTCTGTCATCCCTGTTTGGGTGAAGCTCTATAATATTCCCCTCCAGTACTGGACAGATGAAGGTATTAGCTATATAGCTAGTGCGGTTGGCAAACCCTTATATGCTGATTCTGTCACTGCAACAAGGAGGAAGATCAATTTTGCTCGTGTATGTGTGGAGCTTTCTGTTAACAATAAACTGATTGATTCTTTTGTTCTACAATTGGAGAGATGCGATGACAACGGCAATCCAATTATGGCAATGATTGGGGTTGAGTATGAATGGAAACCCAAGATATGTCTTGGTTGCCAAACTTTTGGACATACTATGTCTAATTGTTATAAGAAGCTAGACAATAGGCCAGTTGCTCCCCTTACAAGTGGGGTTACTTGCCTTGACAAAGGTAAATCCATTGTCAGTACCACTATGGTGGTGGAGGATCCCAACTCTGGGGCCCCTCTCTCTCCTGCGCAGTTGGCCAGTGGCTCAGATGGGTTGCCTGGCATAATTGGTACAGTTGCTTCTAACAATCAAGTCACTTCCTCCAGCCTCCCTGACTTTGTTAAAGGCATCCATTCACCCATACCGGATAGCACTCTACGATTGGTTGGTGGATCCCTAGTGGTTGACATTAGCTCTGGCCCCCCTAAAGCTACTGAGGTGGAGAAAAATGCACCTGTGGACTCTGCAAATCTATGGATCACTCAGGAAAAGAAAAAGGCCAGAAAGCTAAAGAAAAAGTCCAAGGCTGTGGCTAAGTTAAAAGGAGCTGAGCACCTTAAGCTCAGGAAAGCCCTCCTCCATGATTAATTTGGCTTGTTGGAATATTAGGGGGCTTAATGAGCCTTCTAAACAGATGGAAGTGCAGAGGTTAATTAGAGACTCACATTTGGATATGGTGGGTATCGTTGAAACTAAAGTTGGGAGTGTTAATTGCTCCTCTATTATGCAGCAGGTTTTTGGGTAGTGGAGTTATGGTGCTAACTACCATTGCCATACCCTGGGGAGGATTTGGGTGGGTTGGACCCTTCTGTTATTAATGTTTCCTTTCTTGCCCAGTCTGACCAAGTTATCCACTGTCAGGTGGAGCACATTGATAGCAGTTCCTGTTTCTTTGTCTCCTTTGTGTATGCTTTGAATGATATGGTAGATAGAAGACCCCTTTGGGATGACTTGAGATATCATTCCTCTCTTTCTACTAATGACCCTTGGATTATACTTGGGGATTTTAATGTCATTAGGAACCCCAGTGAATCGATGGGATGTGCAGGGAAATGGTCTAATGCTATGCTGGAATTTGAAAACTGCATACAGGCCTTTGAACTAGAGGATTTGCGCTACTCTGGCTTGCAATTTACCTGGAGAAACAAGAGAGAAGGAACTGGGTTTATCACCCGAAAGCTGGATAGGGTCCTTGTGAATTAGGTTTGGAATACTAAGTTTCAACATGCTGCTACTGAGTTTCTTCCACCTGGAGTATCCGATCATTCTCCAACTGTTGTTAAGATGGGGAACTCTGTTTGGAGGAGAAGGAGAACTTCTTGGACACTGTGGCACAAGCTTGGGTTCCTGATGTGCAAGGTTCTCGCTAGTTCATTCTAGCCTCAAAGCTTAAAAGGCTCAAACATGTCTTTAAAGCTTTCTGCAAGGACAGAGGTCATAGCTCTGAGATGGTCCATTCTGCAAAAGTGGCCCTTGAGAACTGCCAATCTAATATTGAAAAGAATCCCTCTGACCACAGCCTGATATTAGAGGAGAGGAGATTACTGGCTGCCTACCTCGAGGTAGCAAAAGAGGAGGACCTGATTTATAAGCAAAAATCAAGGATCCTGTGGCTTAAAAAGGGTGACCAGAATACTAGTTTTTTTTTTCAAATCTATGATTACTCGGAGAGGCAGGAAGAAGATCACCTCTATCACAAGAATGGATGAGACTCTTGCTAGTAGTGATAAAGAGGTCAAGACTGAAGCTATTGACTATTTTAAGCATCTCCTGGGTCAGTTGTGTCACACCATGCCTGACTGTGTGAGAATGAGATGTCTTGAATCTATCATACACAGGAAGATACCTGTTCAGCATTCTGGGAACATGGTAAGGGAGTTCTCTAGTAAGGACATCAAACAGGCCTTCATCTCAATGAGTGACCATAAGGCTCCCGGGGCAGACGGTTTTAAGCCATTCTTCTTCAAGAAGGCATGGCCTATCATTGGTCAGGAGGTCATTGCTGCTGTCAAGGAGTTTTTCTCCAATGGCATACTCCTCAAGGAACTTAACGCTACCACCATCACTCTGGTACCTAAGGTGACTAATCCTACCTCTATGAATGATTTCAGGCCCATCTCTTGCTGCAACACCATCTACAAGGCTATATCTAAGCTTATTGCATCTAGATTCAAGGAAGTGATTCCTTATGTTCTGGATTATAGCCAAGCTACCTTTATTCCTGGTAGAAGGATTGGTGATAACATCTTAATATCCCAGGAGCTGTTCAGGAACTACCACAGTAATCATGGTGCTGCAAGGTGTGCAATTAAGGTGGACTTGCGGAAAGCCTTTGATACTATCAACTGGAACTTCTTAATGGATACTCTTGAGGTTATGGGGTTTCCCTTCTTGATCAGGAAATGGGTTTGGCAGTGTATCTCTTCATCCATGTTCTCTGTTAATATTAATGGTGAGTTGGCTGGGTTCTTCCCTAGTTTGAGAGGTTTAAGGCAAGGTGACCCTATTTTCCCCTCCCTCTTTGTGATTGCAATGGAGGTATTGTCCCTCACTATTAAAAAACATGTC